GTAACAAGTTTTTGTGAGATTTGTTTTGCCTAAAAGTGACAATGGGAAATTGACAATTATACTATCTTCTAAAAGACAAAGAACGCAAAGTACTAGATTTGAAAATGCTTACTCACATGGTTTTAAGTTTGGCTTAGTTCTTGAACCAATAGATCTGTGAGTTTACAAAGATTGAAATGTGGAGCCTATAAGCATCATGCAGATCAAGCTTTTGTAAGCCCTGCAGCTACTATTGCAGATTATGCTGCAATTGTGGTTTTATGTGAACTGGGCGTAATTGGTCATCAGCACAAAAAGCTTATTGAATGCTTGCCTTCCGAGCTCAAATGTGCTAGGTTTGATATATGTCTGTGCATCGGGTAGCAGTTTAAACTTTCACAAAGCAATATTTTTAAAGACGGAACAAAGAAACACGTCTAGAAGAGGGCCTGTGTATGGAGCACTGCTGTGAGTTGGCATCCTCTCAGCAGGGAAACTTCACTGAAGTCTCCTTTCTGTACTTGGCTTACAAGGTTCACTGCAGATAGCTTAACCAAACCATTGACGTTTCCTCTTTCTACATTTTTTTTTGGGGGGGTGGAATTTAACTTACAGGAATTTGCAAGACTAGTACAAAGAACTCCCACATACACTTAACTTTTTGCACCCAGTTGTCATGTCTTCCCAATATCCCTCAGTCTGGAATGGTTCTTTGGTATTTTCTTGACTATCATGACATTGATATGTTGAAGGCAGGCATTTGGTAGAATGTCTCTTAATTTGGGTTTGTCTGATATTTTGTGATGATTATACCCATATACATATATATATACACACACACACACACACACACACATACATAGATTAGACCCATGATTAGACCCATATATATGTGTATGTGTGTATGTGTGTATTTGTGTATGTGTGTATTTGATTTGTCTGGAATGTCACAGAAATAATGCTGTGTTTTTTTCTATTGCATCCTATTAGGCATCATAAAGTATTGACACTTTCCATTTTGGGTGTGTCAAATTGATCACTTGATTAAGATAATGTCTGCCATGGTTTTCCACTCTAGAGTTACTTTGCCCCATTTTCATTTACTCAGTATTTTTGTGGGAAGTATTTTGAGACTGCATATGTAATTTCTATTATTTAATCTACTTTTACCTAAATTTTAGCATCCATTGAGGTTTGTTACCTGAAATAATAATTTACTCCAGTGGATGTCATATGGTTTCTAATTTGATCATTTCATCTACGTCTATGCCCTGGAATTCTACCAGTCTACTTTAAGAAAGAGATTTCTCTTTTCCTCTCTCTCTCTCTAAATTGTGTGGACTAATGGATTACTATTGTGGGACAAAAGGGTGGGACAAATGTAGGTTTACAGTTGTTTGTATAGAAAATAATACAATAATTAATAACTAATAATACAAGAATAAACTCTGTTTTTCATACTCAAAACTGTAAACTTACTTTTGCCCCACCCTGCATTCAATGGAATATAATCCATTGATATTACTATTTGTTACAATGCTTAAATTTTCCCAGATTTGGCCACTGGGCTCCCCTTCAAGCTGACTTCTTTCCCATTATTTTTTAAGAACTTTCTTTCTTTTTGGCTGAAGGTGTTTCAGATTGATATTATACTCTCACTGCCATGGCTTCAGCTTTTACCTAAGGAGCCCTGACTTCTTTTTGTGGAAAGTGATATTTAGAAAATCAGATCTTACTGCTCCTAACATTTCTAAATGGTGAAATACATGTAGGTACACATACACATACACACACACACACACACACACACAAACAAACACTTCTTTATATCATTATTTATCTCAATATCTATTATTGTATATAAATATTGTTATATCTGGCCTGGGCCCTAGTTGTCATCTACCTACCTTCTCATCAGGAAGGAAAGAAGAAAGCAAACCTCTTGCTGGTTTTNCACACACAAACACTTCTTTATATCATTATTTATCTCAATATCTATTATTGTATATAAATATTGTTATATCTGGCCTGGGCCCTAGTTGTCATCTACCTACCTTCTCATCAGGAAGGAAAGAAGAAAGCAAACCTCTTGCTGGTTTTAGAAAGATATTTGCTTTTCATTCCCTTTTGTTAGGTTTGTAAAGCAGAAACTACAAGACCATTCATTAATATTGTTGACTCAAACCAGTTCTGTTTGTATCAACATTTATGACTATAATCATATCAAGATGAATCCACAGGGAGATTTTTTTAATGTAAATCAATATTTAAACCTATATGTATGAAATTTGAAGATTGAAAGCATCTAGGATTTATTGCTGAGTTCCTTTAAATGGCACATTAATAGTTTCCTTCTTATAAGTAAAACTTAAGGTAGTAAAGAGTAAAATTTAGGGTAGACCGGTGGATATTGTCACATTCAAATGTGTTAACTTTGTGACTGAGCTATCTCTCAGCTAAGGGGATAGCTGCAAAAAAATGCAATAAAATGCTCAGTGTCCATAGGCATTTGGATGGAGTTAAAATGTAGAGCAGTGGTTAACAGAATAGTATTCATAGGTTTAAGAATAGATTATTTACCAGCTTCTTCTATAGGGCAAAATGGTAAACTTTTTTTTTTTTTTTTTAAATATATCTTTATTGATTTCAGAGAGAGGAAAGGAGAGGGAGAGAGANNGCTGAGCCACGCCCAGCCGGGCGTAAACTTCTTAATTTTTCCATAGCACATACATTACAGGTGTCTTAATCCATCCAGGCTACCATAACAAAAATGCTATAGCCTGATTGGCTTAAACAACAAACTTTTATTTCTTACTTTCTGGAGGCTGGGAAAGTCCAATATCAAATGCTGGCAGATTTGGTGTCTAATGAAGGCCTTGCTTCCTGGCTCATGATGACCACCTTCTCACTGGCAGAAGGGACGAGGGAGCTCTCTGATTGTCTATTTTATAAGGGAACTGATACCACTCAGGCTCCACTCACATGCCCTAACTACCTCCCAAAGGCCCCACCTCCAAATACCATTCCATTGGGGATTACTTCTCAGCATATGAATTTGCAGGGGAAACAAACATTTAATCCATAGAACAGGATTGTTGTGAAGTTTGAGTGATGTGCAGTAAATAAACCACTAGGAGTAGTACTTGGCACATAGTACACATGTACAAGAAATCGCTTTTGTGTTCATTGTTGGTGAAGTCTAGACTTTTAGCCACCACAACTCTTAGTAAGAGACACTAGCCCTGAGGGCCTGGCTTATTAATTTCACTAAATTAAATGGCATTGTTGCAATACAACATCTTGTACTTTCAACAGGTACTTGTAACATGTTGATCATCTTGGAAATGCGCAGTAAGATAGCGTGTGCATGACTGTGTCTGCTAAATATGTTGAGGGAACATCATGATGCTCATTTGTCTTTTCTAGTAAATATGAGGGAATTGCAGTATCAGTTTATGTGGGAATAGCAGTTGGCGCCGCTGCAATATGTCAAAGTGTGCCTCATGATTAAAGAACACTATTGATTCTGAAGTCTTCATAAGTTGTTTCATTAATCAATCCCAAACCTTTTATTTTACTGGAACAAAGCATGGCCCCAAATAGAGGACATGCTGAGAGTCTTCAGATACCTAACTGAACTTCTTTGATCATATGTATACATTTTAAATCTTTACCAGTTAGCAAAGATTCTCCCTTTACATATGGGAATTAAAACCTGATTCCAAATAATGAGGTGGAAATCCTGGAGAAATGGATGGCTTATAATATATGTAGGGCGGAGATCAGGACCCATTTAGATGTATATATAAACCTAAGATGACTTCTAAGTCCTTTATATAATTATTTGAAGTTTACCTTGTCCATGGTCCTTTCCTTGATCAATCTGTTTCCCTATTATCACTAATGTTGGTAATTCATTTAGGGGATACCATGGAAAATACAACAAGGAACTTAAAAATAGGATAAATAGGACTTAAACTAAAAACACATTAAAGGGTGAATCAGCCAAAAATGTGCACTGCCACATTAAAAATAAAATAAAACAATGTCTTCTAAGACACGACTGAGCTGTCAGAAGCATGAATACTTTTTATAAAAGAGCGTGTCAGGAAGAGGGAGTGGGGACTTAGCCAACGGAATTGAGTGCTGCGTCTCATAGATTGGGGAAGTTAGCCACAGTCAGCTCCTGAGGGATACTTTTAAAGATTTATTTATTTATTTATTTTTTGCAGCAAAGCAAAAATTCAACTCCCAAAATACATTCTCAGTACTCTTTNGCTTTTAAAGATTTATTTATTTATTTATTTATTTATTTATTGCAGCAAAGCAAAAATTCAACTCCCAAAATACATTCTCAGTACTCTTTTGCTTCATACAGATTTTCTAGAGGGGGATACTGTAAATGTTTATAACTAACAGGGCCACGGGCATTGGGGCTCCTGTGACAGTGTGGGTCTTGTTGTGATGAGAGCCACTGGCCCTGGGCTTTAGAAGCCATCTCATCGCACTGCTTAGTGTGACTCAGCTTCTGAGAGCTCAGTGTGTGAGTACCGGGCCTGCATGACTATAAGCCAGCGCTGGCTCACAGCCAGTTCGCCAAGGCACCGAGACTCCAGTCTTGGCAGGCAGCCAGTAAGCTTTCCCTGGGATCTCCAGTCTCATTACACACTCTCCATTTAAACTTATTCAGCAAGTAATAAAAATCCTTAGAAAACTTCAGAGGATTCCCCTCCCCTTCCTTTATAGACAGCAGGCTAAGGAACAGGTCAGGGAGATACGGCGGCCCACAAGAAACAAGCCCAAGTAGAAGAAATAGAATATAGTGGACTTTAGAAGTTGAGCAGGAAGGGGTAAGAACATCCCCCTATATTCAGACAGCTTTGGAATGTCCCCGTCATACAGAAATGCTTACTCACCTTGGTAGAAAACTTTTAATATGTTGACTTCTTATAATAGAGAACTTGAATGAGTCATTGGTAACAGCAATTGCTATTTGTTTCTGTCTTCTTGGTTAACTTCAGAGCACATTCAGAAAATGAAGGTACTTCTTTATCATCTGCTGACTCCTGTACCAGTCCTACTAAGATGGATTTGTCATACAGTAAGACTGCTAAGCAGTGCCTAGAGGAGATATCTGGTAAGTGACCTGATTCATGGGTAGATCAAGCCTCAGAATTCTTGTAATCTCTCCATAGAGCTTTTATTAAATCATATTTGTGCTACACTCTTCCTCTTAAGCATAAGTGGACTGTGTATGTCTCATGCTTCAGAGAGTCTTAGATATTTGGCTGTTCTGCTTAGGGTGATCTCTTTGTTGCTGTGTTAAGATTTCTGTAGAGAATGGTAGTGCTTTCAGAGGCTGGGATTTTAAGTCATTGTTGCCCTTGGTCAAATTGAATATAATCAGAGAAAACCTATAGAATCTTCTGTTGTTAATAAGGCAACCGTTGATTATATGTGGAGATTTCAAAAATATTGAGGATCAGGTGTCAATGTTTGTTTTTCATGGCCAATCAAACCCTGCCCTGTCTTCAGTTCTGTACTGTTGAGAACACTGCAAACGTGTGTTCTGGGGAAAAAAAATCTAACTATGGAAATATTTTTAAATATATGAACAGTGTAAGAAAACAAAGACATATACACACCCCAGACACATTTTGTCAGATATTTAGGTATATCAAGCAGGATTCTCAGCTTTAGTCTAATGCTTTTCTAGAATCCAGATAAGCCCAGGCATATATAGAAGGCCTTTGGTATAATTTTATTATATATAGTTCATGAGGAACTAAGTAAACTCTTAGCAAAATATACTGCTCCTAAAGGAAAAGGACTTTAAGAACATTTTATCTGTTTCTAAGTATAAGAATGCATGGGAGTAGAGCTATGTCCATTATCCCAAAATACCTCTGGCTCAGCCCTTGTATATTCCGAAGAAAAAAACTAAAATAACTGTTTTATTTAAAATATGATTATAGTATCCCAAGGACTCAAAGTGTTGCTCTGAAGCTCATGAAAATAACCATATCACAAATCTGGGGGTTAAGAAACTTCCTACCTGGGCAGACTTGAAACACTTCGGCAGGCATTTGCCATCACGGCAGTACCCACCAGTGGACACTGACGGCAGTGAGAGCACAGCGTCTCAGGGGTTCCTTCTGGAATGAACATCAGTGGTCTCATTAGGCACCAGAGGCTATGTGTGGCCATTGCAGTGTCCAGTGCAGAGGAGGGGTAGAAATGGTGCTGCAAAGCACAGCGACGGGAATGGAATGTTCAGATTTTCCAGATACTCGGGGGAAGCGTTTTCCTACAGCTCCAGATAGCCCCGCACGCAGAACGATGATGCATGTCGGCACTGGGACTAGATATTTTTAAACCTAGTGTGGCGTGAAGATGCATACGCTTCACGAATTTCTTTTTTCATGAATGCCTTTAATTAGCATCAGTATGCCTGTAAAATACTAGATAGAGTTCAATTCGGAAAGGAAGTATACATTTAGTATTGCTTGAATTCTAATTTTTATATGAATTTCATAAAGGAGCATTGTTTTTTTCTGAAAGTAATATATCGCTCAGTATTTCTGATTAAATAAATAATCCTTATTTGATTTTCCTCCCCAGTTTCTTATTCTGTCTACCATTTGAGTATTTTTTCGTATTTCAGGTTAATATTTTCATTTAATGTTCTGATGTTTTAATGGAATACTACTTAAAATGAAATATAAACTAGACTTTAACATAATATAATAATATTAGGAAGTATGTATATTGTAGCAATAATTCATTTATATAGAATCACAGATTTGAGTGTGGTTTAGGTAAGAATATAATAAAAGAAAGAAAACAACAAATAAGTGCTGAAACGAGGCTCATCTGATTGTGTCATTTCTACTATTATTTGTTTAAAATTAGCCTGTAGTGGGGTAGTGAAAATTTCTCTCAATGTAAACTTGAGATTTGTGGAGGAAAGTTGGTATTCGTTTTTTGTTAGTAAACTATAAATTGAGTTCCATAGCCTGAGGCACCTGGATGAGGGTATGCCAGTGACCAGCGAGGAGAGGATCGTTAGCATATCCTGACCTTTTCTTCAGTGACCTTGTCTTCTAATCCCTCCCGAGCTAGTTATTCTCATGGTCATACCCTAGATCTGGGCATCTTCAGAATCTGCAGCTTCTCTGCACCTCACTTCTGCGGATTACAATCTCCTGTCCTATCGGTGTTCTTTTTGTTTCCTTACTCCATGCTGGTTCCACTAGGATTTCCAATTCACTGATTCCACTACCTTCTACTGACCTCCCCAAACTCTGCGTATTCTTTCTGCCCCCTTAATTAGCCGAATTCCTGTGGTAACCGAATGTAATCTCACCCTTGCACGTTCCCTTAACCTCCTTGCTTCTTTCTCACTGCATTGTATGCATTTGATGAAATCACAGACCTGGTCGCATTCAACTCCCCACCTAGTCCACACCAGCAATGAATGGAGCCTGAGAAAAGCACGTCACATGTTGATGTGACTCATTTTACCTTCATGACTACGGATCTCAAGTGAATATTTAATGCTGCCCAGCAGTCATGCTGTATTTCTCTGGTCCATTCACTCTTTTTTGTACCTTTTATTTTCTTTTCAGACCTACAATACCACCTCTTCCATCCTTTCTCTTAACCAATGACCTTGAAAAATTAAAGCAGACAGAAAACAATTTCACAAACCCCTGCTACCGTATCTACGTGTGTACAGCATTAATACCCACTTTCTCTGCCTTTCCTTGGATTATTTTCTCTCCTACTCTTTAATATCTCCCTTTCTACCAAATCATTCTCTTTAGCCAAGAGGACACGGCAATCTTAACTAAAACAACAACTTTTCTTCAGCCCTTTTACAGCTTCCCTTCTCTTTCTGATTTCTGTTGCTGCCTCTTCATTCTGGCTGCTAGAGAAACCACAGACCACATAAGCACTTAAATATATTGCCACACGCTACCTTAGACTGGCCCACAGAATATTCTTTCTGAGACAATGTGAGATATGGGAAGAGAAGTGTTCTAAGAAGTAGAAAAATTAATTCTGGCCTCTGCACTGCCATTATTTAGCTGGATGAATTGTTTCTTGGTTCCTGTTTTCGTGAGGTGACTCTTATGATGCTTATTAAACTCACAGGATTATTGTGAGATAAGGTTTTATTCCTCCATCCATCTTTTCAGTCGTTATCATCTGGTACCTTATACATGCCAGGCATGCAAAGCATTGGGAACACCAACACGACTATGATGTGAGTCTTCCTCTAGAAGAATAAGAGAAAAGTAAACTTTAAAACCTCAAATAATTGAATTACTAGACATATGGGAACAGCCAGCTTAGCTATAAAGAGTTATATAGGGCTTAAAAGAAGGTCACACAAGTATATTGTGGAACTCTAATCCACAGAGAAACCAGGGAATAATATTTCAGGAAGAAATAACTTTAATGAAAATAATTTGGAAAAAAATTCTCCTTACCTTAACGATTTTTATTAGTTTCGTATTGTAAAACTGAGCATTTTTTTCTAACTTCATTGAGATCTTGGTGGTTCATGGGTTTTCTATAACCCAAAGTTTCAAAGCTGTTGTTACTGTGGAACTCTTATTGCTCATGGTTAGTGTGGGGGCCTCACTGGGGGTAATTCTATCCTGCTCCCCAAGTGGAATAGCCTGCATGATATAGAGCTATGATGGAGTTAGCCTCCACAGGAGAAGATCCAGGTTTTGTCAACTTTTGAAGCCCATACAATATGGGGGAGTCTGAAAATAATACAAAAATAAAAATGCAAAATGTCATACATTGTTTAGGAAAGGGACTCAAGCAGTTAGGAGCTCCATGTCTTAAGCACCGTGGGCTTCACTGTGGCTTACTGTGAGTCTCGGTGTAGCTTTGCCTGATTAACACCCGTTGCCCCATCTGCTAATAACAGCATCTTGATTTTTTTGGGGGGTGTAGGGGGTGGAACTATGGCCTCATAATTCTCTGTTCATGTGGACCAAATGAAATTGACCCAAGCAGATCCAATGAGAACAACCGATTCCCTTCACCACAGTGACTTTCTGGAATGGTCGTGTAACCCAACTCAGTTCGCTCAAAATCAATCTCAGAACTTCTCCTGAGACTATTAGGAAAGAGACACTTTCTTTTCCCCCCCACTAGACCTGAAACTAAACAAAATAAAGCTGGAAACTGCTGGTGGTACCTTCTCACTCAAGTGAAACAAACATAAAGGAAATAGAACCTAAAGCAGGAGAGAGTAAGCTCGTCATTGTAGAAAATGTCTGAGCAAGCCATCTGAAACTATCCCTCCCACTGTCCCTTCAATTTTCTGTTATGGTACTCAGGGAAGAATCCCTTTTTGAGCTTAAACAAATGTAAATAGCATCCTTATTGCATAACCTGGGAGACACATGCAATGATGTGTGATACTGTTAAGGAGCAAACTTGAGGCAGATTTCTTAAAGGGATTCACTAAGTGATCTGGGAAGCTCTGCTATTCACATGTTCAACTGAGCAGGAACCTGGGTGAAATAAAAACATAGTGGAAGTTAAAAATGTAATTAAATTATGCTGTGAATATAAGCATCAGAAATGAGGGACACACAATAAAATGGCATACCAGAGAAAACTCAAAACTTTCAGAGTCATGCATCCCTCCAAAGTCCTTATGTATATCATTCAGATTTCTTACTATCTGTCATGTTCTAGGGAGGAAAACTAGTGATATTTACCTGATCTGAAGATGATGGTTCTGATACCATTGTCATAACCTCGTTATTAATTAATAACTGGAAAGAAGCAACAGAAAGCTGCAATTTAGATGCATGCCCAGTAAGGTCTGGGTGACGTGGGAAGGTGCTTGTCTGTCAGTCATACCTGGGAACAGGGCATTGGTCAAAGTAGGTGTGGCCACTGCAAGCTCGGGAAAATGTTATATTTAAGCCCCTGAACAAAGGAGCCCCCTCTCTCTCTTGCTGCTCGAGCCTGACTCATGGTTTGAGGGGCTCTCACACTCTGCACTCGTCAACATGGCTCATGGCCACATGGACCCCACACACAATGGACTAATGGACTGTGATTGGCCTGATACTACATGGGACCCAGCTCCATCATAGAACC